ACCGTATTTATTTGAATAGGCACCCAACCTCGAATTAGCACCCACCTCGAATAAGCGCCCATCCTAAAGGCAGAAAAAGTTAATAAGCGCCCAGCCTCGAATAAGCGCCCATCCCCTCCTCCTGCCAATCAAACTCAAATAAGTGCTCACCCCCACCCCACCCACTTGAGTGAAAAAATTCTAATAAGAGACTTCCCCGAGGACGGAGTTTTCTTCAGAGTATTTTTCAGAACCTTGCTTTGTTAGTTCTTTGCGTTTTGTTATTAGCATTTATTGTTTTTGTTGCAAAATAAACTTACTTCACTTGCTGAAAATGGTGAAAGTTTAATAAGCCCCCAGCCTCGAATTAGCGCCCACCTCGAATAAGCGCCCACTCTCAAGGTCCAAAAATTCAATAAGCACCCAGGGTGGTTAATCAAATAAATACGGTAATTGTGAATGATATTAACCACCTAAATCACAAAGCCAAATACTAACCATGGAGGTAACTTAAGATCTAAACCAGGTTCAGTAGCGATAACAAACTAGTCAGGAATGCAAAAACATACTAAATTAACTTGTTTTTAGCAAGAGCTGCAAGACTCCTCCTTTTATGATCTGTTTATTTCACTTACTTTTGTTAGAATCTCACTTAAGAAGTATTTCATAGTATATGTTTTTCACCTTTATTTTGTAAATCCATTATATATGTTTTCTTTAAAGAGGGATAAATGAAGCTTATTTTTAAAGATATAGCACCTCAAAGTCATGAAATTTTACAGACCTTTGTGTGGGGATGAACTTGCCCCCCCCGCCAATACAAAGTTCTGTAAATTTTCTTAACTTTGATGAGCTATATCTTTGCTCACTTAAGATGTATCACTTTCAAATTTGGCAATTTTACTGATTCTAAGGCTCCCTTTCCAGTGGTGCTGACATACCTTTTCTAACCAGTCCAGGTCAAAAGTTGAAAAAACTGTGAAAGGGTCTATATTAATATTAATATTTATTTATTAATATTGCACAAATATCAATCCAGGGAGAGAGATTTTCATCTGCCCGTTTGATTGACTCAACAAAATCCTAAAATCCTAGCACATAGTCCAATTAAAAAAATTCTAAAAACAATGACTGTTAAGATGGAATCCACCAGGATATTATTAATTTTGATTTTCAGTGGACAAAAATCTTGTACCAGAATAATTTAAAGCATATGTTGCATTCTGTCTTTTCAAGGGCCAAAGGTGTAACAAATCATCTGTAGTAACACCAAAAAAAATTTCTTAGGGAGCCTGAGAAAATGAATGTCAAATTTCACAAAATTACATCTTACACATGAAATTTTTAGAATATTACCCATATATGATCACAATTGTCGTGAAATTTGACATTATGTTCTTGGACTTCCCTGAAAAATTTTCTTTGGTGTTTCTACAGATGATCTATTACATAAAGCCCTTGAAAAATGTAAAAAAAGAAATGCAACATTCTTTAAATTATTCTGGTACAAGATTTTTGTCCACTGAAAATTAAAGTTACTCAATTTCCTGATGGATTCTGTCTTAATCCTTGAAGTCCTATGTACAAATCGCACCTAATAATTTGTTAAAAAAAAAAACTTTCAAAATTACTTAACTTAACAAATTATTTGTTAATAATAATGTCTTTACACAAGTTATTTTGACGAACATAACTTGCTCTGTAAATCACAATCCGGTTTTAGAAGAATGCACTCAACTGAGACGGCTGTAACCTATTTTGCAGACGAGATTCTCATGAATATGGATAATGGCTTAGTCACTGGTGCTGTGTTTATTGACCTGGCAAAGGTTTTCAATACAGTTGACCATGACATTTTGCTTAGCAAATTAGAGTACTATGGTGTATGTGATGAAAGCCTTCCATGGTTTAAGAACTACTTCACAGGAAGAAAGCAGTTTGTGCACATTGATTCTCAGTCATCTGAAGAGTTTGGCATAACTTCTGGAGTGCCGTAGGGGTCCATCCTCGGACCCCTGTTATTCATTGTCTACATTAATGACCTACCATGTCGTATCAAACACTGTTCTGTAAATATGTTTGCTGATGACACAGTTTTCTATCTTGCTGGTCCAACTGTACATTACATAAACTAAGATCTTCAGTGTTTGTCTGAATGGCTAGAAGACAATAATCTTGTTCTCAATGTTTCAAAAACCAAGTGTGTACTATTTACATCTCAAAGGCATAAAGAGCGTGATTGCATTTTAAATCTTAATCTTCTCGGAAAGTCCATATCTTGTGAAACTACTTTTAAATACCTAGGCATGGTGTTTGACAACTTTATGACTTGGAAGGCTCACACGGACTATGTGTGTAAAAAGGTGGCGTCAAGAGTTAGTATCCTGGTCCGTGTTACAAGTTTCGTCACAAAAGAGGCAGCAACACTTGTTCACAGCGCTTTAATTCTTCCATTATTTGATTACTGTGAGATTTCCTGGAGTAACCTTCTACAGCCAGATATAGATCGACTACAGTGCCT